CTAAAATGAATTCCACTTTAATCAGTTTCATTTTTCCAACCCTATCCACATTGCAATTTGCTTTTTCAAATTAGTTCCCAGAATCGCTAACCCTGACGCCCACACACCTAGCACAACAAAGTAGGTGGAGAATAAATCATGGTGACTCAACTGGTCCCAAAGGGCAGAACACTACATGTTGCACTCAAGAGTCCCTTTCATTTTGACGGTAACCCCTACACTAGGGTTAGAAGGATTCAATCTTGGACATAATTTTCACCTCAAAAACCAGTTTGCTACCCGTGCGGGCAAATTGACAGTTTATTTCCTAAGTCTATCAGCATTTCACTTGTGTTAGAATCTTTACTTTCTAGAAGCTAACACAGGTTGTTCTTCATAGCTTCCAAATGTAGACTTCTCTTCCACGGTTTCCTTGGAGAAAGTTGACAAGGTCATGCATGGCCCTTAACACATTTGTCTACCATTTGGTCAACACTAATCTTTAAGGGAATGAATATAATCTTATATAATCTTGCGAGCATTTTAGTTTGATGAAATATTTTACCCCACTTTTTTTTAAATATAAAATTATAAAGTAAGCAATAAGAGTTTAGTATCATAAATCGATTTTTTAGGATGGACATCAAGTGTTAATATGGTATCATAGACGGTTCTGATTGTGATTTTGAGTTGGCTCATTTGGGTCTTTTGGCCCATCCATCCACTCTCAAGTTATCCAGATTGGTTTGGACTAAAGGAGTGTATGTAAGTATTTGTCACATGAATAATAAACCTAGAAATAAGATCACATTTTAAATGAACATTGAAAAGATCAACAATGTTTGTCAGTGTCATATTCTATGGACTATGGTATTTTGCGTGGAGTATATAAATCAAGGTTTGTTAGGCTACAATGTTTATAACATCATTCTTCTTACTTATACTAACCTTTTGGTTTTTACTGATAAGACACTGAGGGATTTGTGATTCCAAGCCTGGAGATCGGGGATTCTGGAGAAAGTCGAATCGATCCAATAGAAGTAACAGATTCTAAACCATCATCAATTGCAACTGTGAGTTGCTAAACGCCACCATCACAATGGATAGAAACTATTGTTCATTTCTCTTGCTAAATACATGTGTGTGTGTGTATAATAAGTTCTAATGGATTGACATATTCATTTTGGCAGAATTTAAAAGAAGAGAATATATACCTTGGACCTCACGGTGCTCCTCCTTTACGGTCAAAACAACCAGAGTTAAACTCGAGCAAACGCAAGCAAAGTTTGAAGCACAAACTTAAGGAAGCTGATAGGAAATACAGTGGAATAGGGAGTGAGAATAAGGTGGACAATCTGAGAGAGCTCTTGGGAAGTGGGAAAATGCCTGCTGCTGCTGCACCCAAAAGCTCATCCAAGGGATGGTTAGACCCCCATTGCCTTGAGTCTCAATTTGAAAGGATTGATTATCATTAAGTAGTGAGATATACCTGTTTATTATCACTTCGTTGCGCTTTGGTTTATAGAGTGATCCTAATAAACTTTCAAGACTCCTTTATTCCCCAACTTTCTTTTTGGGCACGGTTGTCTTTTGCCAACTTTTTTGCTTGTTTGTTAAATCATTCCTTCATTAAGCTTTTCCTGGGGGATTGATGACGACGACCACAACTGGGATACATATAATCTTACTCAGTATAATTTATCAATTAACCTATGCTGATATATTTGATTCAAATAAGACCAGACTAAAAAAATACGGAGTAGTGAAATACGAAGTACACATATAGGAATGTAGGATCATACTTTTAAGTTTTACCCATACAAAATCAATTAATCAAATCAAAACAGACTTGTAGCCAAAAACAATAACGCTAGATTTCACCAAACTAAATTAGATAAATATAAATCAAGTCATATGGAACTTGTTTAAAGCAAATGAGTTACTCCGTGCTGTTTAGCAATCCTTCAATTGATGTGTTATCTAAAAAAGGAATTGAAATTTTCCGTACAAAAGTAAATAGGAAGCGTTTAATGCATCAAACCCCTCAAAAGTAATGAAAGAAATTTGACGGGGATTTAAAATATTCCAAACTTTGAAGAGGTGTGAGATAAACACCATATCTTTCATATGTAATTTAAATACTCCAAATTTTGACAAAAAGTTATTTTAACATCATATTCATATAGTAGTAGTATTTATTTCAAAAAAGTAAATTTATCTTGTTAATTACATAATTTATAATACGGAGTAGCAAATTGAAAATGTTGCAATTATGTAGAATGGGGGCACTACTATTTATATTAGAACGGAAGTTTAGAATGTTAATTGCATCTTCATAAATGCTAAAATATTTTAAACTATGAAATTAACACCAAACATATTATTATTGAAGGAAATAATACATGACCATGGTGCTAAAATAGTTTTGTATACAAATTTTGGGGTATTTAAATTAGGGGAAAGTACGGAAAATGTACTTGTGGTTGGACCCGTTTTCAGATAGGGTCATGTGTTTCATTCTTTATCAAAGTGGTTCATGTGTTTGAATTCCGTTATCACAAGAGGGTCACGCCGTTAAAAACGTCTGAGAAAACCGTTAAAAGTAACTCTGATTTTCAAAAGTGCCCGGATAATTAAAAGAAAAGTACCGAAAAGCTTGCCTCGTCAAGATGACCTCCAAACCACCATCGCCTTTGGATTTTTTAGACCTGTTTGAATTATTTAAAAAAAGATTTCACTAATATCACTTTTCCGGTGGATTTTTCGGTGACAAGGGTGGCTGAAAACAAAAAAGAAAGATAGCCTAGCAGTCGTCTTATTGAGGCGCACCTTCCGGTATTTTTCATTTAATTTTTTGGGCACTTTTGAAAATCGGAGTTACTTTTAATGGTCTTTTCAGACGTTTTTAACAGCGTGACCCTTTTGTGATAACGGAATTCAAACAAATGAACCACTTTGATAAAGAATGAAACACATGACCTTATCCGAAAACGGGCCCAATCACAAGTACCTTTTCCGTACTTTTCCCTTTAAATTACACAAGCAAGATTGGGGTGTTTATGTCACATTTCTCTAAAGTTTGGGTTATTTTAATTATTTTTCCCAATTCAACACATTCACTTCTTGTGATTTAAAATGTGCGTCAAGTGGACATTTTTTTACAATAAATTTGACGTATTCACTTACGCCGTCAACTCCAGTGTTATAATTATTTATGTGTTAAATATTGTATTACAAGAGGTCATATTTATGTCTGATACCTTTATTTTATTCATACATTCGTAATTATTTTTAATTTATATAGGACATATGAAGAATATATATACTACGTATTTGTTTTGTTCATATTCTTATAACTTAATCGTGAACTATTATTACATGCGGGCTACGGGCCTGCGGCCTAATATCATTAATACTCCATATATATTAATAAAGATTAAAGTTTAATAATCTCAACCCAGCCCAAGTGCCCAACCCTGAAAGGTTGAATCACCCACCCCGAGCTTCCCCACACTCTTACCCGACACATTGTAGAGAGGACAAGCATGATATGATGTAAAAATATTGGGACTCGATACGCGTAAAGAACCACAACATGGATGGAACACTCATACTTCTGTTGTCGAAGATTGAACAAGAGACTTCAGCCCATCAGTCTCATTCATCAACCGTTGAGCTACCCGTGCGAGTAGTTGATTATCCTTTGATATGCTTTTAAGGTAAAATATTTTGATATGTTCAATAAACAATGACTGAAACTTTGTGGTGTTGACTAAGTTCATAATATGTGTGAAGTACGTACGTTGTACAAAATAATCCGCATAATGAAAATTTGTGATCAAACTTCATCTTGAAATTTCAAATTGGTGTAAATGTTCACTCATTCACACAGGAGTAGAATGTCGCATTTTAAACAATGGTTTAATGTATCAAATTCTCTCGTGAAAAATAAATTCGAAGCATTAGCCCTCTTCGTTTTAAAAATGCGTCAAACTCTCATGTATTATGATTATTCATGAGCAAAACCCTTTTTATGAATAAATTTAATTGCCAAAAAATTGAGAAATGATTAGTTTTTTTGGTATGATTTAGACATTTTGATAAAGTTACTTGCATATTCAATAATATTATGTTCTTAGAGGGAGTTTAGCCCATGAATAATTATAACACAGGGAGCTGAGTTTAAGGCATTTTTAAAATATAAGGTACTAATGAATCAAATTTATATTTCATTACGATTTGGTGCATTAAACCCTCTAAACAAAAACACAAATACGAATTACGATTTAGCTTTTAGCAGAACAACAAATATTTCGTTCTCACTTTTTTTTGTAAGGTCTGAACGGTTAATCAACTGTTCAAGTGTTCAACACGAAAATTCATTTGATAACGGCTGATAAATGAGAATTCAGAGATCGAGGAATAATTAATTTCACCTCTTTATACTCCCTAGGATAAATTTTCCATTGATGTCTGAAATAAAATTCTGCGGATCGAGATCACTGCGTAGCCTGCCTATAGGAGAATGCGATAGGTTATCTCGTATTTTCACACTCATCCAGCATGTGGATGCTGTAACTCCGATCCAATTATGTTACAACCTCTGTTTGGGTGCTCATTATTAATTAATCTTGTAGGTTTAACAACTTAATAAATCATACTTCGTATAAGTTTCAAATTGATTTGCAAAAAGAGTTTTTTGTCAAACAATTTCATTTTATTCACTTAATTGGAATGACTATTTTTAATTATGCTCCATATTATAATTTGGAGAAATTTTGATATAGTTTTTGAATACGCAAATTTTAATTATTAAAAATTTCATTAATTACCAAAATGAGCCATTTAACTTTAAAATTGTTGGCACTGAATTTGGACTTTGCAGTTTGTACCTATTTTACCGGAATTTTTTACTTCGGTTGTAACTACTAATTATTTAGAAAATGGGGTGCTTAGTTCAATTTTGGGAGAAAATTTTGGGCAATATATATCCGCCAGTGTAGTATTGTGAGAAGGTAGGAATTTCAAGGAACTCTATCTCTCTCGTCTTTACTGCTCGATCTACTTGAATTGCAACATAAACAAAAGAGATGGCAGGCATGGAAATCCATTAAGCACCGCGGTTCTGTTGAACTCTGTTTTAATTTGCACTTATTCCATTATTAATTAATGAATGAGCGGATATATACTTGCAGGTAATGGTGATGAGGTTATTGCATTGTTGTATTGGGGAGGTGAGATTGTGAAGACTGGCTACCTCGGTTCCGTTGACTATTCAGAGCCCCCAAAAGCCACGTGCTTTATAAGGAAAATCAGCTCTCACGCTGAGCTCGTGGCGAAAGTGCACGCAGCGATGGCCACTAACAAAGACAACACGAGCCTGGCTCTGTATGGGAGGTACCCGACAACGTTCGCCGGAGACAAAGTGGTGTTTGTTTCTGTCCCACTCACCGACGACCGATCGTGGCGGTGGTTTGTGTTGGAGATGTTGCCTTCGCAGCCTCTTCATGTGTATGTCATTGCTACTGCAAAGGAAAAGACTCAAAAGAGAAACTGGCAGCAGACGACGATGAAGATCGTTGTGCTTTCTTTGACCGGGAAGACGACTGAACTGGATGTAGAACCGTCCGACACCATTGATGATGTGCAGGAACAGATTAAGGAGCTGGAAGGCATCCCAGTTGAACACCAGCGGCTTATCTTCGCCGGAAAGCTTCTCCAGGAGGGTCGCACACTTGAGGACTACAACATCCAGAGCGGCTCTACTATCCATCTCGTTCTCCGCGTGTGCGGTTGTTGAAACATGGTTTATGTTGCACAAAAACACGAAATGTCATTTTCAATTGGAACAAAAGTGCTTGACAAGTTTATGAAACATTTTCAATCAGACGGGTAGCTAGTTTGATACTTTCATCAAGGGAAATTATTTAAACAGGACTTAAAACTTTTGTGTGCTTACAAACTAGGGTTATCATGTTCTATATTCTTAAAATAACACTAATTAATGTCATTTTGGCAAGATAAGATTTTTAACATGAGAGTATTTTTTAAACTTCACATTAATTATTTTTATTTTTAGAAATAAAAATATGGAAGTCTTATCTCGAAATTTTTAAACTTTTTCACTCCTAATTCTGCCATTTAATTATTTGGACCGATGTATGGTTGATCATTGTTGGGAAAAGTACAACTCTTTTCTTCGAGGCTTACATACGAGCTCATATGTACTTCCTAGGACATTTGAACACCCATAAATACACTCTGTAATAAAAACACCGTGGTAATAGCCAAATCGGCTATATTGACTTATTCTGCTGAAATTTATGAAGTTCTGGTTGATGTGGCTGTATTGGCTGATTCTATTGATTTGTGAAAAATAATAATATAAAATATATTTTATTAATAAAATAAAGAAAAAAGTAATTTCAACCTTACTTTTTTCTTATTATTACACAATTCAGCTCGTAAAACAAAAAGTTACGTGTTTGGTGAAAAGATTGACTTATAAGCCTGAAAAGTCAAAAATCATGGTTACCAAACAAGCATTCAATCTAGTAATGTATTACTTTGTACGAAGTATAGTAAAATGAAGCGTACAAAAGTGAGATTAACAAGTTTATGCGTAGCATATTTGACTTTTGGTGTTTGAAACTATTTCAGCTCACCACACTCATGAGAAACTTTCTTAATTAAGGGGTGTTTGAAACTGATTCTGATTTTACTTCTTTTTTAAAGTAGAAGCAAAATCTGAATCAGTTTTCAAAATCTGGTCTTCCCCAACTTCTAAAAAATTGATTCTATGAGTAAATTAGGGCACCAGAAGTACTTCTGTACTTTCACCCAAACACTCTAACATCTGTTTATGCTCCTGATGAAGCAGAAGTAGTTTTAAGCATCAAATTCAAACACCCCCAAGTGTACTCTATTTTCACTTCATAAGTGTATTCTATTTTCACTTCAAAATTTCAATATCAAAATTATATGTAAAGTAAGAATTATAAACTTGAACTTTCAAAATGACATGTCAAAATCTAGAGTCGTCATTATGTAATCATAACTCAGAGGAAAAACTGTCAAATAGGTCATCGTACTATTTCAAAAAGTCAATTGAATCCTCGTATTTTATTATCGATCAATCAAGTCCTCATATTATTAAAAACAATCAATTTTAGCTTTTAACCGGTTGGTTGTGACTCTATCTGGTGACAACTGACGCGGAAATCTACATTCATTAATTTTTTCCTCTTTTCTTTTTCTTTCTTTCCTTCTTTCTCTCTTTCCCATCTCCTTCCTTAGTTCCTTCTCTTCCTGCAACTTCTTTCTTTAATTATGTTTATTTCTTTCTTTCCTCCTGTTATCTTTCCGTTTACTTTCTTCAATCTTTGTTCTCGGTCGTCGGCCTTTCTCCAACATGCTCGTCGCCCTTCTTCACAAATCCTAGAAATCTTGGATTCGCCAAAAGGTTTAACAACATCAAGTCAAGAAAATGGGTCAGTAACGCAATCTCTCAATTTCGCAAAGAGAAAAGCTTCATCCAGTGCTCCCACATCTTCACTACCACAAAAAAAGCTCTCATGTCAAATTTCCACCACCTCCTTCCCCATTATCACTGCCTGTGTACCAATTTCACCCCATCTCAGGCATTCAACCTAAAATTCACATTTTCTCAAAAGATCTGTAACCAAAGATCAAATAAAAGTCGGAACTGAGGGAAGCCTTTGAGTCAGCAAAGCCACCGAGGATGTGCTCAAAGGTCTCAAGGATATGGAAACCTACTTTGATGAAAATGGGACTCAAACTCGACGAGGAAGTTAAACATCCCAAAAAGACTTGTCTTCTCAACCCTCATGCGTTGGTTCTACGGTTGCCGGAGGAATGCACTCTGCTCTGCCCGTGCTTTTTTTTTTCTCCTTCTGGAAAGAACCAAAGGATATGAGCACTTTAGCATAGACCATTGTGGCGAGGATATTTTTTAACCCATGTGGAAACAAAGACTCTAAATAACCTCCACGCAAGCATCCATGTCAGCGAATAAATGGATTACCGATTGGTTACCTCTCAAAAAGAGGAATTGATGGTTTTTTAATACTTCGGGGACTTGATTGATCGATGATAAAGTACGAGGACTCAATTGACTTTTTCAGAATAGTACGAGGACTTATTTGATAGTTTTCCCTAACTTTGAGGTCCTTCACTTGTACGAAATCAAAGCCGCACATGAACAAAAGAAAATCTAATTACTTTGGACTCTGAGATTGGATTATAGCTAGTGGTGGACCCGGTTCAGGCCACCTGGCCTGTGAACCGGCCCGGCCCGCTACTGTGCGGGCCCAGGACCGGCCTGGTCTGGCGGTCCGGGACCGGGTGGTGACCCGAACCGATGGGATAGCGGGGGGTGGGCACGGGTAGGGAAAATGGGGACCCGACCCGGCCGGGCCGGTTCGGGCCTAATTCTTTTTTTTTTTTTTTCTTCATTATTTTTGGGTTTCCATCGGATTGGGCTGGGTGTTTTGGGACGGTTGGGGGGGGGGGGTTAGGGGTAGTTAGGAAAGAAAAAATACATTCGACCAGGCCCGGCCCGGACCCGGACCCGGTGGATACCCGGGCCGGTCCCGGGTCTAGCCATTAAAACTCAAAGGCCCGTCAGGCCTAAGCCCGACACGGGTCCATACCTAATTATAGCTAGTGGTGGATCGAGAAAAACAATTTAAGGGGGGTTTGGAACTGATTCTGATTCTGCTTCTTTTTTAAAAGCAGAAGCAGAATCAGAATCAGTTTTCAGAAGCTGGTCACCCCCAGCTTCTAAAAAAACTGATTTTAGGAGTAAATTAGAGCACCAGAATCACTTCTGCATTTTCATTCAAACACTTCAGCTTCTGCTTCTGCTCTGTGAAAGAGCAGAATCAGTTTTAAGAATCAGATCCAAACACCCCTTAGTGCCTTAGTGGATCGAAACTCGAGTTTATTTATGGGGAAATGACTCCCGGGATACGTATCGTGAAATTTGCATCAATTTCTCGATTACTAAATCAACAACCCTTTTTTATTAAAAAAAAAACACAACCCTTTTGAGTGAAACAATATAATTAACCAGTTCAGTGTCGCCATATTTAATTTAATTTGTGTTTCAAATGCTACCCTAGTGGAGTACGTATATGGTACAGCCGGCTGTACGGTGAGCACCGTACAGCCGGCCCAGTAACAGGCCCAAGAGTCCAATAGTCGGTGGCGTTTTTGTAATTAATGTAAAAATCGTGTTTCTACTAAATGAGCATTATTGTACTGTTAATGAGCAATAGTTCAATTGTACTGAGTATTAGTCGCCTAATAATGAGCACTGTGTTATTACAAGAAAGCTGATATCAAAACTAAAAAACGGTGGCATTTTTGTAATTTCAGTGAAAATCGCGGTTTTCGTTATATGAACATTAATACATTTTTAATGAGCATCAGACGTATTTTACTTAGCATTAAGAGTCGATAAATGAGTATTGTGATTTCAACTTCATATAGGTAATTCACTTTGTTTTTCTTATTTTTTCTTTTATAAAAACTCATAAATGAATTTCAATATATAAATCTAATGTAGCATAGTACTTTTGAAATATGCATTGTTATGACATTTTAAAAATGAGCATAACTTGAGTACAATTTGAGCGTATGTAAATTACAAAATGAGCATTGATATGAAAATCATAATGTTTATCAGTTGGACGTCACAACATTTTCATTGAGCATCAAACCTCCTATATTGAGATGAAAATAACGTTTTCTGTTAAATGAGCATTAATGAACTTTTAATTAGCACTAGACCTATTATATTGAGTATTAGGAGTCTGATACTGAACATCATAATCTCTGTTTCATATCTTTTAATTCACTTTCTTTTGTATATTTTTTCTTTTATAGAAACTTATTAAATTATATTTACTATCAATCCCTATGAAGTTCAATATGTGAATCTAATGCAATATGATACTTTTGAAATATGCATTGATATTACATTTTAAAAATGAGCATAACATCAGTATCGATTGCGCATATGTAGCTTACAAAATAAGCATTAATATGAAAACAATAAGCTTTGTTAGTTGAGCATCAAGACATTTTTCATTTAGCATTAAAACTCCTCTATTGAGTATTAGAAGCATACAATCATAAGTTTTTTAGTTGAGCGAGCATCAAGACGTTTTTATTGAGTATCAAATCTGCTTTATTGAGTATTAAAAACATGCAATTGAATATCATGCTCTGTGCTCTCATATTTGTAATTAACTCTTACTTGAATCTAATACAATATGCTACTTTTGAAATATGCAATGATATAGTCGTGTTGTTTTTATTATATTTACTCATACACATTAATTATACACTATACTCATTTTAGAATAACACAAAACTCACGTTAGTAATTAACACATACGGAGTAATATTTAATAAACTAACAAATACTCATTTTAAAATAAAAAATAGGAAACAAAACATTAATACCTGAAATATCTTATAATGCATAAATTAAAAAACTTAAATCAGAAGGTTGATTCTAAAAAGAAGGAAAAACAAACTCAAACATTAATCATATTTTAGATTATACATTTGCATAGTAATTGAATAAAAAATTAAAGTATGTTAAAGCAAAAAATAGAGAAAAGGAAGAACTAAAAAAAACGCCAAATGAAATGAACTGAAAAGGGACGAAAAAAAGTGAAAAGAAAGAAAGTGAAAAGCTACGGAAGAAAAGAGAAAACAAAAAAAAAAAAAAAAAAAAAAAGAGGAGTAATCTGTAAAGCCGTAGCAGCAGGCCAGCAGTCATCAACGAAAAAGAATTGGAAAATTTTAAAGGATGAGTGACGGCCGAAAAAAGAAAACAGCAGCTCCCATTAATTAACCTAACCTTTACCCATTAGTTGATTTTAATTACAAAAAACCCGGCTGTACCATGCTCTAGGTATAGCCGGTTGTACCGTATATATTACGACCCTAGTGCTGTTCTAATATAGTTTTCCAATTTAAGTACTCAACAAATAAAAAAAGTAATAATGCGTGCATAACGTTAATACACTTCATCCAGTGTTCTTGTTTTATTTAATTAATTGCAACAATTTGGTTATCACACGGTTTTGAATCTTTTGATCATTCATATACACGAGTATATGTGAATAATAATTGTAGTTGTAGCATGCAAAAAAGTAATTTATAAGTCCATATTTTGACAAATTAACAATGTTTCTCAAAACATAAATTTGTAAGAAATTAAAAAATTGTAGTCTACCATAGTACATAAATACTGCAAAATAAAAATTGTTGCAACTACTAAAGAAATTTTGTAGGATAATATTGAGCACTAATTAAACCACACATGGCATGCCACGAATATAATATATCAATAAAGATTTTAATTTGATATTTTTGGGTTTTAATAAATGGTCTAATAATATTTAACAAATGAGTGAAAAAAATCGGTCTTCACAATTTCCATAATATAACATAATTTAAATTATGAAAATTAGTGTCCCTTTCAATAGATTCATCTAATAGCCAATTTGATCATTGAAAAATCAAATCAGTACTGTAATAACATTCAGACAAAGTAGAATATTGCCGCATACTACTAGTTCCCAAAGAATAATGCGGAGTATTAAAACCTACTCCCGTCGTCTCGAAAAGGTTGGCCAAATTTCCTTTTTGGGATGTGTCAAAAAGATTTGTCGTTTCGATTTAAAGTAAGGAATATGTGTCTAAAGTTAATTCTTTCCCCTCTGCACAAATTTCAACTATACAGTTTTTATTTTAATAATGTACGTGAAAATCAACTTTGGTCAACTTTTTCGGGACGGAGAGAGTATATTTTAGTAACCCAACAAAAACACGTCTAGAATTCGGCTTTTGTGGTACACCATGCTCTAAACCAACAAACTTTTCGTTCTCACATTAATCTATTACGAGTATGTTTCGGTATCTGCGTTCTCAATAAAATAAAGCGTAAATACGTGCAAACATCACTAATATTTGGTACTTGTCCTTGCAACGACGAACGTTCTGAACATATGAGAATTAATTAAGGGAGGAACCGAGGAAGAACCTCTCTATATTCCCCAGGAAAAATATAATGGTCATTAATGTCTATATAGATCAGTGCAGTGCATATAGAAGAATGTGACAGGCCAGGTCACATTTCATGTTCACACTCAAACTGTTGAGGTAATTCCGATCCAAGTATATTAAAACCTGCATTAATCACTTGCAAATTAACTATGCATCCATGTCTTCATTATTAGTCAAATACCAATAGTTTTAATCATTTGCAAATTAATTATATATTGTAGCTAACATGACCATTTTTAGCAAGTTCAATAGGTCATTTGAAATAGGGCCCACCAAAATTGGAGGCCCAAATTTCTTAGTATTAGTATTACAATATAGTTATATTATATTATATTAATATGTTGTTAATTTAAATCATGTTTTTTCCTATATGAACACTTGAACACAATTAGTTTTATTGAATTATGTGAATTGTTATTATATGTAATTTTATTTTTATTTTGAACTGGAGCATCCAAATTCATTAGATTGATAACTAATAATTTGTTTATATTAATGATTTTTTTTCATTTGAAAAGTCTAAGATGCATCAGCTTTTATAATTTTGTTTATCTGTTCAAAGAATTTATATTTTCACATACTTTATATCAATTTTAAGTCAAGTATTTTCTTTTACATTTAGTAAAAAAATGGTGTTATAAATTTCTAATCACTTCATATTTAATTATGTTATTATTTTTAAATACTATTTAATCTCATTAGTCATTATTTGTCTGGGGCATCAAAACTCCTAGAGACGGCCCTGAAGATTTTCTCAGGATAGCTTTCAAGAATCCTTTATAGCTATATTTGAGAGATACTCTTCAGATGTAAAGGATTTATGCATCTAACTGTTGTGTAATGTGTACATGTGAGCACTAAATAGTGCTATACATTGATCTCATGCAAACATTTAATGGATTAGATGAGCATCATGTAATTTCTACATGTAGTGTCACCGTTTAATGGATTTTCAGGATCAACCATTTTTCAGCGCCTTAAAGATAAAAAATGAAAGTTGGAATAACGTGTTTCTGTTGTACTAGCATTACTGGGGCTAAAATTTGCTTTTAACTGATGTGTGTTTCCCTCACCATCCCTACCAAACTTTGTGTTCTTGTCTACTAGCTATTACTCTGAATTACACAAAAGCTGCCTTTATTGGACATGCTCTAGCAAGACATACTGACTTTCATTTTCCTATAATTTGTTATATTTGCCTGGACTTTCTTATGCTACTTCCATATATCAATCATTGCCTCATTGGTGATGCTTATTCTGATAGATGACGTTCTCCTAAACATAACACATTTAGTTGTAATTGCTTGGGAAGTTGAGAAGTGTAGTAGTGATTTATTTGTCAATAAGACAGAGCCTTTAACCAAAAAATACTTGCTAAGAAAATTCTCAATTGACATACATAGTAACCTTGAGTTTACACAACATTAATTGATCTTTGCCAAGTAATAACATGAAACAAAAGATTAACTGAACTAATTAGTCAAAATGTTACTATTAAATGTAAACAAACATTCAAGCTATTGTGCTACAAAAAAACTCATTCCACTGTCCCACTTTTTCTGGTTGATTTTGCCACACTAACTCTTGCTGCAAAGAGAAAACTGAATCCTACTTCTAACTTCCTTCAATATTGCCTCTTCATATTATCATCAGGTAACTTCGTTCTCTACACGTCCTGCATACGGATCCGCATGAGACATTGGCACGAGCAACTATTGAGGACAAAGTTGCCAATTAGATCTCACGTAATCATTGTAATTAGTATGCTGGACTGGTGCACTGTTATAAGTAGGCATTATGCCATTGATACGCCCATCCTAAAAAATAGTGAAGGCATTATTAAAAAAACAGCTTTACTCCAGAAAATATTATCTAGAATATGTTATATACGTCTTACATTAACACTAGTTACTGCCTTACTGGTAAACTGATACAATTATCATTCCCTCCTCTAGCATCATCATGCACCATTTCTATATACATATAATTAATACAAGTAATTAAAAACATGTTTTATAAATAGTCTCAAACTCCACTAATGAACTACAACAACAGGTTTTTTACATCTATTATACCCTTCATGATAACTTTTCTTCTTTTTGTATCTCTTTCTTTACTTCGGAGCATATGAGTATTATCCTTAATAATACAAATACATTTAAGGCAAAATGTCAAACCCCAAAATTAAATCAATTTAGACATATGAAAACATATTTGCACCAACGCATTGGCACTCAAATTTTTTACTCGGTCTTACTTCATTCATTTGTAACTTGGTATCATCATCACCCGTACTGAACCGTCCTGCAAAAGATTATAATTCGAACAATGAAAAAACTGTGAATTTAGAACTCACTATTATAATCTGAAGTCTGAACATTGTGAAATACAAAACACTAAACTAAAATAGTGTGCAAGCTGAATTTAGAACTCACATCATGGGCTCTTTTATAAGTAGCTGCATGTTGGGTGACCACTTTATAGTTTATACTGTTTACTTCTACTTCATTTGCTTCCAACCATAACATCACCCTACTACAAAAAGAATCAGACAGAGGAAGATAGAATCAAATTTAAATATTTCATGCCCTTGTTTCTTTCTTCACATCCTCCTTGCTAATTTTCTTGCTGCACAATCATCCCCTAAATCGAAAGATGATGGCCTCAAGTTGGCTCTAGGAAAAGTTGATGCTCGAGAGAAGAAAAGGCATAGAAAAGTGATACCCTGAAGCAGCATTATGCTTTGGAACACAAAAGAGTTGGTGTAATGAGCCTAGGATAATTTGCTTGTCGAAATTAAAACTTCAGATAGAATGAGTAAAAGCTGGTTTGGGTCTCAAGGATGACTATGGTGAGTGTCTCGTTGAACTTTATGTCGAAGTTGCTTGCCTTTCAGTTTTCACAACTGAAAGGCAACTACCCCAACCAATAAAATATCTATTTTGTACTTGAAGATAATACATTGTGCCTGATTTTTAAAGTTTAGATATAGTTTCTCATTGTTATTTTTGTGTAAGTATTTTTTTGTATGTGGTGAAAGGCATATGAACATTATAATAAGCTTATTAACAATTTTTTAAATGTTGTAATATTATTTTTAAAGTATTAAAAAAATTATATATTTTTGAAAAATTTAAAGATTTTCCGGGCCGGGCTGCCCGGTGGACTACCCGGCCCGCTCTTATGAGCGGGTATGGACATGGGGTTAGACCCGTTTTGTGGGACGGGCCAGGCCCACCCACACATGATGGGCAGAAAATTTATAAAAAAGCCCGGCCCGAGCCCGGCCTGAACCCGTTTTTGTGCGGGTCTACAGACTTAGTCCAACTATGAAGCCTTTTTAGTTTAACAGGCAGCATATTTATATGTGTGTGTGTGTGTGTATATATGTTTGTATATATATTTAGTTATATTTATTCGTTTTATTTATAATTATATATTAGTATACTTAAATATAGCAAATTAGGCATAATAATATTTTTATGGAGTATGTATCACTCAGTATAAATTAGAATACTAGCTGTTTCAAATATATAAAGTGTGTTAATAGGTTATTAGGGTAATTGAAATTCAAAGCTTTCCAAGATTTGAAGTACATAAAATTTATTAGACATTCAAAGCAAAACTATTGTATAGATTAGGCTTTCAGTGAATATTTGGGGGATAAATAATTAGACATAATTAGACTTTTATATCAGATTATAAGGATATTTCACTTTTTATTTTTTACTTTTATGAACTTTTGATTTTTTTTCTTAACAGGTCCACCAAACAGGATTCAGGCCAGGCAAGGTTTTTAAACAGACCAGGCTCAGGCCGAAAAAACAGACCTTTAACAGGCTGAGACCTATTAATTCTAAAACAAACCCGGCCTCTCGAGGCAAAAGTTTGGTCTGATGTGGCCTTTTTGTACCCTAGTTACAACTTACAAGCCACGATTTTCAAGGAACTCTTTTACTCTTATGCTTCTATATATATAAAACGAACGTCACAGAAGGTTGAAACAAATAAGGAAGAGAATCAAGAGATGGCAGAGAATGGGGATGAGGTCATCGCGTTGCTGTATTGGGGAGGCGAGATTTTGAAGACCGGGCATCTATGTTCGGTTGACTATTCAGAGCCCCCCAAAACCATGTGTTTCCTTCCGCAGATCAGCTCTTTCGATGAACTGGTGGCGAAAGTGCACTCTGCAATGGACACCACAAAGGAGAACGCAGATCTGGGTTTGTACGGAAAGTACCTGGCAACGTTTGCCGGAGACAGGGGCGTGTTTGTTTCCATCCCGCTCACCGACGACCGGTCGTGGCGGTGGTTCATGCGGCAGATGTTGCCTTCGCAGCCTCTCCATATTTATGTCAACGCTGCTGCTGCTGAAAAGCAAAAGGAGAACAACGAGGGGCAGCAGAGAAAAACCTCCGGCGCAGCAACGATGATGAAGATATACGTGCATACTCCGACCTGGAAGACGATTGCGCTCGATGTAATATCATCAGGCACCATTCGTGATATGAAAGAGTCCATTAAGGAGTTGGAAGGCATCCCGATTGACGACCAGCTGCTCTACTTTCAGCAAACTTGTCTCCATGACGGTTGCACACTTGCAAACTACAATATCCAGAGTGGGTCTACTCTCTTTCTCAGTAAAAAATTGTTTAAATTTTAAAATGCGCCCACAAGGGCAAATCGGTGATTTGCTGCTTTATTATTTCATTATTAAGGTAGTTTAGTTTTTTTGTAGTTTCACCTATTTCATTATTTTGCATTACTTTTTATTTATTTGTTTTGCTTGTGGTAGAGTAGTAAGTGTTTTAAATCACTTTAGAAATATGAAGACTTACATGGTGATATTACGTTTCAGTTTGTCCATTAAATGAAATATGAAGACTTACATGGTTAGTGACTTTTGTGGTTGGACTTATGCCTGGAGTCTATTGTAATGTAGTTTGATTTATTGATTCTAATATATACTATTTTCATTAAAAAAACGTTTCATAGAAGCGAAAAGATCTGAATCGACAAAACTACCCTAACGAAAACTAATTTCTTTATGAAAAAGGGGGCAAATAAGCCCATGTACTAACCAAAAGAGGTCAAATAAGCCCTTATTTAGGAAGATATGTCCGGCCGTCGCCATTTGGGGCGGTTCTCGGTGGAATTTTTCGATGAATTTTTTTTAGCATGTTATTCATTAAGTCTAGTCTACTCATACCAAATTTCAGCTAAAACTTCAATCGGGAAGACATTCAAATAGATTCTTGAAGATAGCAGCACAGTTATCTTAAATTATTATTATTTAAATATTTTTATTATTTTTTAAGTATTTTTTACGAATTATTATTTTTTTTTTATTATTAAATTATGAATTAAAACATTTCAATAACTATAAGGGTATATTTGTTCAAGACACATAATTAGT